AAGGAGCTGTCCGAAAACACCTTGACAAAGCCAGAGCACTTACGCCCGACGCGGAGCTTCTTCACCCGATTGAGGCCACGGAAGTGATTTATCCAGGTTTCTTTGGGCAAAGGAATACCCTCGACCACCAGCGTCTGCGTGTGTTCTAGCGTCGGAAGTGCTTGAATAATGCCCACCGCAATGTCGACAATGGACTGCCTCGTCGAGGTAAAGTCGAAATGGAGTTCCACTTGAGATTCACGGTTATATCGGATACCGTCATGGGATGTCGCAACAGTCATCGCGTCCTCCTGAACGTCCAGGGAGTGGATTGGTTTTCGCGCCCTTCGTATCAGATCATTGGCCAACCCCTGGGCCCAAGAAACGTTGGAGGTATGTTGCTCGAACATGAGCATAACGCTACAACTGACCATGACCCAAGTAGTCTCAGGGTAGGTGATATGATCTACTAGGAAAACACACGAGGGAAGGCCGGATCTTATCTCGAGGTTGGCGAGTCGCGGGAGGTCGACGACGACTGTCCAAGGGGTAGAGGTAACACCCGCCGGATGGGCGTAGCTTGTAGTGCATTTGAAAGATTCAAGCAATGGCAGGTTTGCAAGGGCGGAAATGATGTGCTCGAGGGGTGGAGCCTCCATTGGACTTTGGACTTCAAGGGATTTGAGATGCGTAAAGGGTAGGGCTTTCCAGTTCAAGATACCTTTGTCAACAAGGAGGTGGGTTAATCGTGGTGCCTCCCCGGAAAATAGATGATCTGGCAGCCTGTTCTCGGCCCGGAGACGGTTGTAGAAGGAGATTTCGAGGGTTTCCAAAAGCGGCGCAGGAGAATCAAGAAGGCCGACAATCTCCATAAAACTCTCCTCGCCAAGGTGCCCTTGATGGAGTGCGAATTTTTTGATACATGATAACTGGCTCATAGTGGCCTTGACGAGTGGGGCCGCCGCGCATGGTGCAGACAACAAATGCGGAGGATGCCACGATTCGGATTTGAGAAATACGAGCGGGCCGATGATGAGAGGCGCCATTTTGGAACGCGCCAGCATCTCCTTTGCCCACCTCGGACGATGAAATGGTAGAGTGGTCCAGAGACTCGGATATGCCAACGCAACACGGCGCCAATGCGAGCACACGTGAGAGACGCGCATGCAGCCCAAGTTGGAGGACCCAGTAACCCCGACATTGTACTTGAACACGGCCACGAGGAGTTCCACCGGAAGACGAGAGATGAGGCTCAGTTCGTTATGGTATTGTTTCCAGGAATGCATTTCTTCTCGGATGCGTATATATGCAGCCTCCCGGGTAGGGGTATTGCTAAAGGCAGTGGCTCTGCCATCACCTTGAAGGACTGATGCTGAATCCTCCGTTTGAGCGTAATGTTAGAAGCTGAGGTAAAAATAGCGTACCATCCATGATCACTCGGGCGAGAAAATATCCTAGACCTTCGAGATGAGGCTCAGTGAGTCGTTATGTCGCAAACTGACGAAGTGTCGTGGGTGCAGGTAACGGGGAAGATTGGAAGTGGGAAACAACAAGTCGGCACCAACCTATACTTATCTGAAAGAGACATCAACGCCCACTGTACGTGCACGGACCCGATTTCGAAATCTTGAACAATAGACGCCTTTTGTAGTTTTTCTCCATGACCATCCGAATCTTGTTCGTAACGGGAATAACTCGCCACCAACCTATGTATATCTAAAACAACATCAACGCCCACTGTACGTGCACGGACCCAATTTTTCTTGTTGAACAATACATACCTGTTATCGTTCCTCTCCATCATGATCCGAATCTTTTTTGGCCTTCTGCGCGACGTGGTGTATCATCGCGTATCAGGTGCAGCAGGGAACGAGCAAGTGTGCAGAAACGACTTGGAAGAAGGTTCAAGGAAGTACGAGCGCTACTGCCACCTTGATCGCGGGAAAAACTTCAGCCGACCCAGCGTACTTGAACGCCGCAATCTGCAGTACACTCCACCATAGCAATTCAAATAGACGTAGGGTATTTAACCAACGAAGCTATACAATACAACGTCCACAAGCTCGAATGTAAAGCGAAAAAAAAACGACACAGCAATGCTCTTCTAACCCGATTATATATGACTGCGCTTGTATAAGTCCGAGCCTGGTCAGTCTACTGGATCCACATCCAAAACACTCCCCCCCCCACCCCCGTCTGGGAGGTTAAATCCGGTTTTCCTCTCCCATCCTCACCGATGCCTCAGCTCCCTCGCAAGCCTCCAACACAACACCCCCGCAATCAACGCACTCACCCCTCCCAGCCTACACGTGCCCCCCACAATCAGCCCCACATCCAAACCAGCAAAAGCACCAAAAACCGCACGCACCGAAAGATGTACACCACCGAATTCGACTCGCCCCCCCTCCCTGCCCCCTCCCCCTCACCCTCCCCTCTCACCAAACCCCTCACCACCGCCCGCACGAGCTCTGATGTACTTGGGCTACCAGTGGGGAGAGGAGGAGGAGGAGCGGCGGGCGGGAGGATATGCGGCTGCGGCTGCACGGCGGGGTCGAATATGGCGAATATAACTGCTGAGAGGCCCGTTACGAGGAATTGGGGGACGACGATGAAGACGTTGTGGATGCCCTGTACATGCGCGGTTTAGAGATGAGTATATGCGGAGGGGCGTGGGGAGGGAAGAAGACGCACGAGTATAATACCAGCCTTCGCACTCAACCCTCCTCCTCCCCCTCCACCCCCACCTCTCCCCTCACCCCGACCCTCCCCCTCCTCCTCCACCCTCCCCCCAAAATCATCCACATCCTCCCACTCCGCGTCCCCATCATCAAGCTGCAGCTGTACCCGGCTCACGCGCGCCCCGTGGTTGCCCAGCACGCCCAAATTCGCATTTGCATTTGCGGGGTGCTCCTCTTCGTCTTCGTCTAAATCGGAGTGCTCGTCCCCGTCCTCGTGGTCGTGGTCGTTGTTAGAGGTATGTGCCCCGGAGTCATGCCCATGTTTGGAGCCACGAGGGTCTCGCTCGTGGTTCGATGCAGACGCAGCGGGGAGGAACACAGCAGTCTCCCCTTCAGCCTCGAGGTCGTCGATGGGTGTGCGGGCGTCCGCGAGGAGAATGGAGTTGCGGGCGGTAGAGGAGGGGTCGGGCGTCGTCAGTATCGCTTCTGCCAGCTGGGAGGGGTCCAAGCGTCAGACCGTCGGGACTCTAGGGGTAGAGGCAGGGGTGAAGGACTTACGAGGGAGAAAGGCGCCCACTGCGTGATGGCCCACGAGAACCCTGTGATGGTGATGAGGATGGTCGCGCCGCCTACGGAGTCCGTGAACCTCCACGCCGAAGATAAACGAGGGTGAAAGAGGAAGGGGAAGGAAGGAGGACGTACAGCGTAGCAAGCATACTCCCAGCCAGAACGAGGTGGCTCACAGCCCACAAACTCGCCAAATTCACCTTCATCCCCTCCGGCACCCTCACCCACGCCCATGCACCTGACACCTCCTCCAGCGCCCCCGACCCAACCCGTGAGTTCCCCCTCCGCCGCGTGCGTGTAGCGGGCGTCGCGACGAATGCCGGCAGCACGAGGTTGAGGAACAGCGAGAGGATGGCGGAGAAGAAGAGGGCGCGGGTGCCGAGGCGCGTGGCTTCCGCGTCGCGCGCGGCGGGGGAGGGTGTGGAGGCGAGGGGGGTGGAGCGTCTGTACAAGTCGCCTATGTAGATTGTAGTGTAGAAGAGGATGGGGAACCACGCTATCCACGCGAAGAATTGTATTATACACTAATTCCGTTGTGGGTTGCCGTTAGTAAGGCTACGCAAAGGGAAGGGAGGGTACGTACTATTTGGCGAATGACGGGGGGGAGTGTGAGGAGGTTCGACCACAGCTCTCGGACTTCGCGTATGAACGCATTGGGTCGTTTAGACGAAGGCCGGTCCGTGCTTTTGAGGAGGACGCGTTCTTTCACGCACGCGGCCATTACCACGTGGCCTCCGAGGAGGAGCACGGACACAATGACGCTGAGGACCTGGAGCTGGGTGGTCCCCAGGAACGGAAACATAGCAGGCAGCGGGATACTCCCAACAAAGAACCCCACGACCGCTCCAATGCCCAGCATCCTTGCCGCCCACGCATTCCCCGACGCCTGCGCGGAAGGCGGGAGCGTATCCACAAGAAGCGCGCGGTCCATCGCCATGACAGCGTTTATCGAGAAATCAATCAGGTAGATGGCCACCACAGCGAGCGCAATCGTCAACGCGTCGTTCCCCGGCGAGCCCAGCCTCGTGAATACGCCGGCGAACCCACGGGTGTACCCCAGGAGCAGCATGGCGAGGACACATATCACGGTGCCCACCATCATGAACGGACGGCGGCGGCCGAAGCGCGATGTGGATGTGTCGGCGAGGACGCCGATGATGGGTTGCATGATGAGTCCGGAGAGCGGCCCGGCGAGGAATACGACGGCCATGGAGGATTTGGAGAGGCCTAGGGAGAGGAGGTACGGGGAGGCGTAGCCCATCTCGACGGACCAGAAGATTTGGACGCCGAGGAGCCCGATGGTGAGGGTGGGGAGGTGCGTCCATTTGGGGCCGGCGATGGAGGCTTTTCCGGCGAACTTTTGGGTGCGGGAGGACGCGTCGAGGGGGAGGGGGGTGAAGCCTGTCATGACTGCGGGTGACAAGGTGAAGGATACTATGCTAGTTCTGTAGCGTTAGTGGGTAGAAACATTTCAAATGACTGTCAGGACGTACCCTACGCCTAGATTACGCTCGAACAGTAGGCCACCTTGTGCACACCGTGACACACGACAAGAACTGACAACAGTTGGCACCTGGCGACGAAGCAGGGAGCTACAACAACATTCAGCATACAGTAAACTTCGCTACGTTGCTACTCACTTTATAGCCTCAGTAAACCAATACCCGCGACATGGATGCAATACGCAGCTTCGGTGCGACGTGGTCAGGACTCGGAGTGAAGTCATTACGTAACGAGTATCATGACACGATCAACGCATCGCTCCCTTATCACAACGTCTCGATAGCTCAGTGGTAGAGCATGCGATTGCAGTACCACTGCTTCACAACACATCGCAGGGTCAGGTGTTCGAACCACCTTCGGGACTCTTATTGGTTGTTTTCCTTTTTTTGTTAAGTTCGAATTTCCATGATTGCCCTTAGGGGCCTAGGGCCCATACTCAGTACTCAGTACTCAGTACTCACTGCTCAGATGCAGAGCATAACACAACATGGGCATTGGCACTCTTCCCATTCTTACTTATCTCCCCGCAATGTTTCAAGCTCCTCACGACCCTATAACTCCATTATCTCGCTACATTCGCCCGTCTCTCCTCAGCAGGATCATTCCCCTCAACAGCCCGAACAAACGACACAGCAGGACGACAATGAGCTCATCCAAGGTCCTTACTGCGCTCCATACTTTCACATCTCAGACAGCTTCTTTGGAAAGATGATTCCGCCAGCGATATAGAGGTCATTGGACCGTTTCCAATCCAACAGGATCTGATGAGCAAGAATACAAGAAAGGACTCGGAGGAACGGCTGATTGTGTCTGTCTAGGAGAGACTAGGCACACATGGCTAGAACGCTGAGACTGATCAACTTCGGCGCTCCGCCTCGTACTCTTCTCCTTTCTTTAGTGCCCGCCACTCTTTCCTTCGTCCGTTACAACACCTTTAAACAACAATGACACCGGCAGGCTTCATCCCCCCCTTCCTCCAACAGCACCGTGACCGATTCTAATTTCTGCAGAGAAGGACGGTTGCGGATGGGACGACACTCATAGGACGAGACATGTTCCCCGTTCGTCTCTCATTGGCAGGATCGTACCCCGAAGAAATCCTGGCGTATCACAACACAGGGCGCACGCCAGGAGGGGCTGGAGGCGCGTGGTGGTGCCGGAGAGGATGAAGATGAATTGTGCGAGTCTGTGGGGGGGCGAGCCATCTGGTTCAGGCGGGGAGCATGGTACGTCCCTCCTTCCCTCTCTCCCCCTCCCCCTTTCTCCCTTCCTTTTTCACTCCTCTCCTCTCTTCTCCTCCCTCTTGTGTAACTGAATCGAGTTTATTTCCGGCAAGTAGGTTCACGGACTCCGTACTCAGCAGGCGCGACGGTCCTCACCGCAGCAACAGGTATCTCACCGGCCAGCGCCTTTCTCCCTCGTGAGTTCTTCGCCCCTCCCCCTCCCTCCTCACTCTACTGTACACCCATCTGAGGCTTAGACCTCCCAGCTGGCAAAAGCGATGCTGAAGCGCGACTCTTCCTCTGCGGGGCGCTACTCCATCCTCCTCGCCCACACGCACACACCCATCGACGACCCCGAAGAGAGGGCCGTTTTACTCCCCGCTGCAGCCGCAGCCGCAGGCGCACACCTAACGATCGCAACCCCAATTGATGCCTCAATTTTCAAGTCCAAGTCGACTTGAACTCGTCTTCTCAGGATACATAGAACTAAAGTCTTGCCTGTGGACTGCCAGCCACCTATCGATACTAGCCAACTGGTAGTCTGTTACTGTCCATGAAGCCTAGAACGGGTAGCCTTCCATGCGAGCGGATCTGATTTCGACGATACACTAGACGAGTGACTAGTCCCTCAAGGAAGGGCAAGCCTTGAGTCGTCAGTGGTATCCTCCGGTGAGGGCTGGCCACGAGTATAAAGGTACACGTACCGTCCTGTTGTGAGCTCCACTGCGTACACTGTATGTACATCAAGCCGGCAGTACCATACGCACACGTCGTCGAGTCGAACCGCGAGCAACTCCCCAACACAACCCCAGCACAGACTGTCAGATCAAGCTCGTTTCTCACTCACCTTCTCCCGTTGCTCTCTCCATGCTGCGCGTTGTAAGCATACCCATTACCACTGATAATGAACCATTCATGAAGTAGGGGAGGGTATCGGGCCTAGGGGCCAAAAAAGATTCGGATGGAGAAAAAGTATGGAAGGTACCATATTGAAAGACGGGGCTGGGGCACCTGTGGTGATGACATCGGATAGGGTTCGCGAACATGCCTCTAACTCAGAGGATGACTTCGCGAATATTGCCTCTAATCAGAAGGCCATATTTGCGAATATTGCTCTAATTTAGAAGGTGGCAACGTTTCCTCACACACCCAGTCCCGCCTGTATACCCCGATTTGGATAGGCCCTCCTCTCACCTTCGAGCTCACTGTTCAGACCGGCGGCGCCGCCACTTCCTTATTTGGGCAAACTCTAGATATTCGCGCTTCAGGTCGTCGTATGGGCATTCGGATCCTCTCCCGCCTCAATAGATACTAGTGTAATCAGGAGAGATATGCATTGTAGGAATGATATATATTAGTTATATCTACAGCCATAGTGTGTAACTGTGTAGGGTCTACCCTCCCCCCGACACCCTTCACAGCAGTCTCAACTTCTTCTGGTAAAACCGAACCGTACCCTGCGCAACGATGCCGCGCGTGAGCAGCACGAGCCGCGTGGGCTGCCTGCTCGCATGCATCAGCATTCCCCCCCTCTACCGTGACTAGGTCATCATAGCTCGACCCTCTTCAATTCCTTCACTTCCTCCACAAGTAGCCGAGCCCTCCTCCTGCCATCGATCCGTGCGAGCCTTGTCCTTACAACCCGGTGACGACCACTCACAATGGGAATTGGTCTAGGCTGAAGACTGACTGCAACGTCACCTGGGATAAAGGAAACAGACAGGAAATTAGTGACCTTCTTCGAAGTGCGACGAGGGCTGACGTACAGGAAGTTCTAGGCTCGATTGAAGCGAGGATGAAGGGGTGGGGTCAAGTTGACTATACCTGGTGGCGACTAAGACATCATCATACATCGCCGACTGGCACCGCGAGGAACTCCACAGCACTAGTCTCTCCTAGACAGACACAATCAGTCCTTCCTATTCTTTACCACGAACACTAATCAAGCTTGTTTCGCACTGACCTTCTCCCTCCTTCTCCCTTGCTCGCTCCCGGCTGTGCTTCAGAGTGCGCTGTTGTGATTTCGGGCTTGATAGCGAGCACAGGGGCGGTTAAGCCGAGGGTGGACAATCTCGTAAGGAGATTGGCCAGTGTATTTCCGTTTATATACCTAGCTATGTCTGTATTATTAATGTAGAAAATTGTAAGTAAATTTTACTGAATAAGAAAACTTCTATGATAAGTCAGCATGTCGTCATGCCTGATTAACTAATCCGGGCGAGATTCCAACACTCTCCCTTAATCTGGCATGACACTATAGTAAGAGTTAGAAAATAAAAAGAAAGTATATCTAAAAATTCGAGTTTGTCTTCAAGGCTCTCTGTGGCCCCGGAATCTCTATCATTGCGCGTCATCGAAGCTCTCCCTGGCTCTGGAAACCACCAACTTCCATCATCGAGGCTCTCCCTGGCCTCGGGATACGTCATCGAGAAGTGATCTCGGGATCAGAAAGCGTAATCGTCGTCGGTCGCGATGTGCGCGTTGTCGGGCGCATCAGTCTTCTTTGCGTCATCATCCTTCCCTGTCCTGTCCTTCTTCGCATCTCGGCAATTTCGGGCTAAATGCCCCTTTTTCCCACAAGTGTAACAGGTGACGTTTGGCGAATATTTACCGACCATTGCCATATCGGGTCATCGCGGATAGAGATGTAGAGGGCGACTAGAGAGCAGAGGGTGTGTGCAGGCTATACGAGATTGTGTTGTGATTTCGGGCTTGATAGCGAGCACAGGGGCGGTTAAGCCGAGGGTGGACAATCTCGTAAGGAGATTGGCCAGTGTATTTCCGTTTATATACCTAGCTATGTCTGTATTATTAATGTAGAAAATTGTAAGTAAATTTTACTGAATAAGAAAACTTCTATGATAAGTCAGCATGTCGTCATGCCTGATTAACTAATCCGGGCGAGATTCCAACATGCGCATACCCATTAGCGGTAATCAACTGCTCATGCAAGTAAGCGCCAACGAAGATTCGGATGGAAAGATTGAAAGGTTCCACTGAAAGCTATTGAAAGAACGGACGGGGGCAGTTCGGCGCAGCTTCAGTGTGGTGACCCCTGATCATGACATTATTTGTTCGGGAAGTTGGTGACAAACTAGGTTGTTGTGACTGGAAGTTGGAAACTTGAAGTTGGCATCCCCGCGCGGACACTGATAGGGTATAGGAACTTCTCTCGCCCGAGTGCTCATGGATGGTAGGATATTCCATTGTCGCTTCCAACATTACGCTCAAATCTCAGTTTCTATTCAAGGTGCTGGCAGAGCCACCGCTTTTAGTAGCACCACTATCCGGGAGGCTGCATACGTACGCATCCAAGAAGAAATACGTTCCTGGCAGCGATACCATAACGAATTGAGCCTCGTCTTTCGCCTTCCGCCAGAACTTCTCGTGGAGGTGTTCAAGTACAATCTCGGGGTACATTTGCCTTCCTATTTGGTTCAGTTGCTCCACGTCACTCACGTATGCTCGCATTGGCGCCGCGTTGCATTGGAATGCCCGAGTCTCTGGAGTCGTATACCGTTTCATCGGCCGACGTGGGCGAAGGAAATGTTGGCGCGTTCCAAAATGGCGCCTCTCACCATCATGCTCATATTCTCCGGTACGCCGATAGGTACAAAGCTATTGTGCGTACCATGCGAGCAGGCCCCAGCCGTCAAGGCCACTATGAGCCAGCTATCACGTATCAAGGAACTCGCGCTACATCAAGGCAACCTTGGAAGCGAGCGTTTTACGGAGCTTGTCGGCCTTCTCGATTCTCCTGCGCCGCTTCTAGAATCCCTCGATATCTCCTTCTTACACTTCGCTCCCTATAACAAGCTGCCGTATTACCTGTTTGCTGGGGAGGCGCCACAATTATCGCGCCTCCGCGTCTTGACAGGTTGCTTGAACTGGCGAGCCCTACCCTTTATGAATCTCAAATCCCTCAAAGTTCTGAGTGCATTTCCTCCGCCTGCCGAGCACATCATTTCCGCCCTTTCGAACATGCCATTCCTTGAATCTTTCGAATGTGACTTCCGCCACGCTGGGGCGAATAGTACCTCCACCCAACGCACAGCCGTCGTCAACCTCCCGCTACTCGTCGATCTCGCAATAGCATGTGACCTTCCTACATGTGCTTTCCTCCTAGACCATATCACCTACC